ATTGGAAAGAGCAGAGTGCTCACAGGTTCACGAGGTCTCACTCAGCCTAACACTGAAGTGGTTATGGAACCTTGAAAGCTTGGGTTGAGTACACCCTGAGACTGAATTTCTTTATTTGAAAAATAAATGAGAATAAAACTTCACAGGATTTTTTGAATATTAATCCTGATAATGTATGTGAAATACTTTTTGTATTTGTACAAATTGATGGTGATGTTTATTATTTAAATTACATAACTTTAAAGAAATCTCAACATCTATGTATTCCTCTCAGAATTTTTCTCATTATATTTTAGGCCTTTAATGATTGACCCCCAAGGTCAAGCCAATAAGTGGATCAAAAACTCTGAGAAAGAAAATCAGCTTAGTGTTATTAAGCTATCAGATTCAGACTATATGAGAACATTGGAAAACTGTGTTCAGTTTGGAACTCCACTTCTATTAGAGAATGTTGGTGAAGAACTGGATCCATCTTTGGAGCCTTTACTACTTAGACAAACTTTTAAACAAGGTATAAGGCAATTGCTATTAGTTGGTAGAACTGAAAAATGATTGGATTATCCTTGAATCATGAAAGAAAACCTCTATGTAAATTTACTAATAATGTTAATAACTCAGAATTTCTGGTTAATTATTATGAGTGAAAGGAAATTTGAAGCAAGCTATCAGGAATGAACCTTGGTCAGGTATTCTAAGATAAATACAATACCTTGTTCTCTCTTCATTGCCTTAACCACTGCACTGTTATCTAGACTGTTGTTCTTAGAAAACATAAAGAAGCTGAAGCCAACCCAAAATTCCTTTATCTTGTGACCATTGACCACACAAAGTCCATTATTATGAATAGTGATGGTGACTGTGGACCAGAGTTGAGTTTAGGTAAACACTGTCCACCTTAGATCTTTCTGCTTATAGCAATTTTGTCTCTGCCACGTCCTGGTACTGTTAAGAGCTTTAGTCATATACAAATATTAATATTTTGGAACTATGATTGAAAACTGATTGAGGAGGAAAGCTCAAAAAAAATCTTTATTTACCAAGCTTCATGATACCCAGAGAAAATGTCCTATATTATCTCAAAATGAGGCCTGCTATATAATTGCTTATTTGCTGCTTCATCTGTGACTTTGTCACACAATAGAAAACCTACTTCAAATTGCTTTAGGACCCTTTATTTGTAACCTAGGCAAGGCCTTGGAAGTACATAGGGAGAGGGGCTATGTAACTGGGTCACTTACTATGCATTTGTTTTCTGAACTATAGGTGGCATTGATTGTATCAGACTTGGTGAAGTCATAATTGAGTATTCCATGGATTTCAAATTTTATATTACCACAAAACTGAGAAATCCACACTATATGCCAGAGCTAGCCACAAAGGTGTCTTTGCTCAATTTCATGATAACTCCAGAAGGACTTGAAGATCAATTACTAGGTATCGTTGTTGCAAAGGAGAGGTATGTA